ATTTAAATAAACCTTTCATTTTTGCAATTAAGATTAATATTCAGCAAGTAACATGCATTACAGAATAAATTCACAATAAATGCATATCCAGAGATAAAAAGGTTGTCCTTTTGCAATGCCAACTAAAACTATCCTAGAAATAGGAAGAACTATTTTAAACTCTTCTGGGAAAGGAGATTCAGGCTTCTCAAATGAATTATTGACTCATTCTTAGTATTTATGTACCACTTGTCAGTGCAGTATGGAGAAGTATGGCTAGGGCGATCATATACAATTTTTTATCCAAACCAGAACACTTCTGAGCATGGAAGTATAAATTGGAACTGCCCTAGAAAACTAGGACATATGGTCACCCTACTGAAGGGTGTTTACCCTCAGGAAGATCGTTTGGTACCCACACTTAAAGTAAGCATTTATAATTTTGTTGTATTTCAAAATCCATTTTTAATTAGTCCACAACATATCTTATTTGCGAATGCTAGTTTTTTATTCTAGCAATAGTCACCCCCAAATATCTGTAAGAGAATACTGATTTCCCTGGAAGATCCAAATTCATCAGAACTTAAAAATCAATTTTTAAAAAAGCAAATATTTGACCAATTATTTTTAATGTTATTTAACTGTCTTGAGAAAATACAGCATAAAATGCTAAAAAGAATGTTATATATAGGCTAATAAAACACAGCACAAAATGCTAAAAGAAATGTTATATGCAGGCTAATAAAATAGTTTTCTTCACCTATATATGGACCTGACATAATGACTGCTCATTTAAAATTTAGTTTTCTGTATATTTCAAATTCTTAGTTCATAGTATTTTTAATACAACATTATGATTTCCCTGAAAATGGTTAAGTTATGTGCACAATTAAAGATCAGCCCTTTAATTTTAGTAAGAGACAATAACATATTCACTCTCAATGTATCCAGATTCTTTTATGAAATGCAATTCATTGTTCTTTGCTATGAGAAATAACTTGAAGAAAATGCTAACAGAAATTGCTAGATAAAATAATAAAGGATCAGGCCCACTCATTTTCCTGCTAGATATTTTTTGATATAAACATTATAAGAATTATGCATTTCTCCTTCAATTATTGTTTCATTTTTAATATGGCAGGGTATACATAATTTTGTTGACTGCATAAATTTTCCTTGAGTATAAGTAATAACTTTCAGACAACTAGGAACTCAGCGGAATTATTAACTCAAAATATAATAACTGAAAGACTTTATAGAAGTCACTTTTTTAGATTGCTGCCATTTTATTTTATTTTATTTATCTATATACAATGTAGTTGATTTTCATATCTGCAGAAATCATTTTTAAAATGCTTTCTCTGATTCTCTGTTCTTTCACGCTCACCAGGGAGGGTCCATCCATACCATTTCACATAAAAGTGGTTTTGTTTTGTGTGTTTTTGTGATAGAAATATGCTCCAACGCAGTATACACATAAATTCAAAATAAGTGGTCAGTTCAGTCAGTAGTGAACTAAGTTTGTCAAACTATATTTTTTGTTTGATTTCACTAACTTAGCGAATGTAAACAGTAATTCAGAGACTGAGTTAACCTCCTCCTGATTGTGCGTCAAGTACATGTCACTTGGTAACCAGCCAGTACTCCCTATTGCATCACTACAGCTCTTGTGAGTATTACACGGGGGCACAAATTTAGGCACAAATCCTATATGCTGGGTTGTAAAATGGACAAGTGTGACTGTTTATCCTTACATACAAGTATACACTGCTCTTCATTTATACATCATTTCTCACTTGTACAGAAAACCTTATTGACAGTGCTCTGCGTGGCTACATCTAAACTCTGTGTTGGCAGCATTAGCTGCTAATTGCCAAGAATTTGGTGCTTGATTCCTCATGTGCTAGTCCATTTATGCGGTAAATGACTACATAGCAGGACACATCCTCTTTTTCCTTAACTCCCTAAAACACAACTACTACTATATCTGGCTAAAAATACAGGCTTGATCGCTACATGTTAAATGCTTGCAAGTGGCTTAAATCTGTTCTGGGAAAAAATATACATATAAATACATACATATATGATACGTGAGGCTGAATTAATGTATTAATTAATGCCACATGGCTCAGAATCACCTCCTTGATTATTTAAATATTTTTATTCTATTATGCTGCAGTTTTCCAAATATTTTTGTCATCTTTCATTGTATATTTGAGAGGTTTTCATGATCCATCTTTTTACTGGCTTCTCTATAACTTGGAATACCCAGAGTAGCTCCTTGGAAATCCTCATGCCATTTATTTCTTCTGAAGTTTATGAAGTGGCAACTCTTAAGGATCTGATTACTGCGAGGCAGTTTGCCTGTTTATTTCTAAATAAGGCTTATAGACAATATGGATAAAAATTATCCAAGAATCTTCATGGGCTACAACCTTGGGCCTGTATGTGCCTAACCTGTAAATGCTATTCGGCTGCACTATTTAGTACAGCACTTAATATATATTAAAGGACAAAAAGCTTCAGATTAAGAGTCTTATGATATTGCTCAAAGCATAGATTTTTTTTTTCATTTGCTAGACTTCACAAAAAAACCTTATTTTACAAACTGAGAAAAATTTTAGTTTTTTATAACTTCATTAAATTTACAATCTATATAGTGATTTCTTTCTAGGAGTCAGATATTATACTTAGCATGGGATTTGAGAAGATATGGACTTTGATCATTTGGATATTAAAATCTATTGTTTGATTCTGCTCCAAATTTTAAGATGGGAACACCAAGCCCAAAAAGCGTTATCAAGATCACACTAGAGAGTATCAGAATCAGGACTAGAATTTCATGTCTCCTGGTCCAATGCCAGTACTTTCTATTTCTTTCTTAGTGGTTCCCTGAGCAGTGTGCTAGCTGCACATCAGAATTCAGTGAAGCTTTTACCTAGAGATATCTATGTTGTTTTCTGATTAAAGAATCATTGTTATTTTTGGAGCAGGCAATAATTTGCAGCATTGACTTTTCTTTTCATGGGCTGAAGGAAACAACCCAAAAAGAAGTACACCTCAACAGACCTCCAAAGCAAAGTGAACCATGTCCTTATTTCAAAATACAATAATCTATAACTTAACAATTTAACACCTTTTGTTATTTTCTATTTCCTAATAACCACACAAGTATAACTCAGTTTCTTACAAGGCTTTTCTCTTAACTGTAATTGATAGAGATCAGTATTATCCTATTTTTATATGTATTTTTTAATCAACATTTTTCTTTTTTTTTTTTTTTTGTCTTTTTCCATGTCCGGCAACGGATCGCAACCCTCAGTGTTGCTCCCGCACCGGACCGGGGACCGGCAACGGGATTGCAACCCTCGGTGCTGCTCCCGCGCCTCGCTCAGCCAGTGAGCGGGAACCGGTCTGTATGTGGGATCCGAACCCTCGGGCGGGAGCGCTGCCATGCTTCCCAAGCGGCGCACTTATCCAGTGTGCCACGGGGCCAGCCCCTAATCAACATTTATCTTATTGGTCTCAAAATCAAAGATTTTGTAATAATTTTTTATAGACATCCGGGTAATACAAATGTCAATAGGAGTACACTGCCTCAGAAACATATTTCTTAATTTATGTTTTCTTTACCTCCTTTGTTAGCCTAGAAGGAGTATGAGAATCTCATTTTCTTCCTGAATTGCAGTGATTTATCTATTTCTCTGTGCCTGTAATCTCAAATTTACTAAGAATCAAATGATCATCACAATATCTTATCTATTTCTAAATGTTATAATATTTGTTGATTCAAAATCTAACAGACAAAATGGATTTTAGGTATTATTTGATCCATCTCTTCTAGTTTACAGATAAGAAAATTGACACCCAGATAAATCAAGCAACTTTTAGAGCAATTTAGTTTTCAAGACTTGTATGTATCTCACACATTTACTATATCATTAAAAATTACAAATGCATTTAAAATTTACAAATTTCTTCCCTGATTATATCCGATTATTTATTAAACATATTCAAGGTCAAATTATGTGTTAAGATAGAACATTTTTCTAAAAAAATAAAGTAAGGTACATATTTTACATTAATTCGTAATATTATGTTTATTAAATATCTGTATTTTCTTTGCAGCTATTTTGAGGTATAAATATTGTAGTATAAATTATTTTTTAGATTATAGATGATAACATAATTATGTCTAGTATTTTAAAGTATGTGCAATCATTTTAAAATTATGTTTTTCTAAAAGGCTATTTTCTCTAATTTGTTTACCTGAATACGTATTTTGAAAAAGTAATATACTCTGTACCCACACACACAAACACACATTGGCTTTATAATACATATGTACACATATACTTATGTCATGAACAAAATTTTTTAAAAATTAAAAAAATGCAGCCTAAAGTTTCTTGATCTGATTGTGTAAAACTGATTGAGGAACAGCATGTGATTATCACACTCCAAATTAATGAGTCATATCACGGAATTAATTATAATGAATGCAGTTCTTTTTTTGTGATCAATTATGAAGAAAGATGTGTTAGATAAAAATTTTCCTGGAAGCTTTGTAAACTATAATTCAACACACACGCGCGCGCACACACACACACACACACACACACACACACACACCTAACTCCTTTTATTCTTTGAGCAGAATATTATATTCAGATTTTCTTCAAATCACAGACAGCTCGGTTTGGCAAGTTCTAACAGAACTCAGTCAAGATGAAAGTCAGCCAGCTTTTGCTGCTAAGAATGTATTCACACAGCATATGATCTCTGTCTGTTCAGGCTGCTTCTTGCTCTTGTCTAAGGATAAGAAAGGAGCGCTGCCTTCCTGGGGTATGCTATTTGAGAAAGAAAGTAACCTAACACTAACTGCAGGCGGGGTCAGAGTGATGTAACGTAACAGGAAGCTCTGATGTTTCCCTTCTGCTGCTGATCACTTACAATCTGACAACACTTCCAATCTACTCAGAACAAACCCTCTCTCCAGCAGAGAGTGTCACCTCCTGCTTTAGGACCATCAAGTTCTGCTAACTGGATCTCACTCTGACTTCAGGATCACTTTGCAAGGCTTTCACTCTTCCCCGCCTTACCTGGGGGTAAATTTCCTCTGAGGAATTTCAGAAAATCAAATTTCATCCTAAGAATATTTTAACAAGAATTTCCTTAGGAGCTGTGCTGGGTAAGTGCATTATTCAAAATAAATATATTTATTCTTGGTAGTATTCTCAGGTAATTTGACAGTGTTTCTACTGTAGAATTTAATAAATGGCATTAAAATAATGCTGAAAAATAGCCTCATTTATTTTACAGGTTAGAAAAACTGTAGCATATTACCCCTAAATGCATACAAAATTGTTTACTAATAGATAATATTATTTACAGTGGTATTCTAGAAAATAAATTTAACAAGTTAATAAAAAATTTTAATGGATTGAAAGGCATATTTCTGAACAACTATCTTAATCAGGGAACAATGCCTTTTAAAATTAGCTCTACCATTAGCTAAGCTTGAATCTTGACAGCTGGAAAGCATTTTTACCCCAGAAAGTGTCTTTCAACTTTTTGTATAATTGGTATTCTAAGAAAGGGGTGAAAGAATAACTATTTATTGGGTTTTCGAGTCTCACTCACTCTGTGGTTGAACACAAAGCAGAGTTAAAGAAAATTAATCACTTTGTACTTATTATACTTGCCTACTATATGCCTTCTACCTTTATTTCCAGATATATCTTTTAACTATTGAACTAATGGAATTTTCATTGTTCGTTGTTTCCAGATGTGTTTAAATCCCCTCTTTTGCTAACCCAGAACTGTTTCAGCTCTATTTAGATTATGGGGTGGACTACAAAGTAAACAAAAACCACCCACAGTTAAGAAAATGTAGAGATTTTTATATTAATTCTTAATTTCAAAACTCTTAAGCTCAGAGAATGTGTTACTTCAACTTGACCGGTATCCCTCTGAAAGCTTCAGGGGGAGAGTGTGATTTCGAGATATCTGTGGATAAAGGAAGGAACATAACAGAGCTCTCCACAACTAGTATATTAGATCATTAAACAGAGAAATTAAAGTATGTATTTTAAAAGAATTTCCAGAATAAAGCTGGAATGTTGAGATACAACATCTGTAAACCCTCATCGAAATAGTACACACTGTTCTGGATAATTTAATAAATTGTCGGTATAGAGATATCACAAATTTGTTGCTAAAGAAACTTAAATGTCAGATTTGGGTTCAAATCATGTTGACTGACATAATTTTAAAATTTTATTTTCTTACCTACATGAATTTATACTCTGCAGCATGTACTTCAGTGGAAGCATTCTGTATTTATAATCACCCATAATCTGGCATATTAACAGTAGACTACAAACTCATCCTGAGTAACTCCTTTGTAATTTTCAATCCAGTCTTTCCAAAAATTTCTCAATATAATGGAAATTTTAATTAATTCTTACATTTGTGATTCTTTAAAAGTATGTTTCTGATTTCTATCTCTTTTCAATCTTTAACTGTATTGAGTTCCCTAACACATGTGTAGAAATGGGAAAAGTGTTTTCAGAATGTGACTTTGTAAATAGCCATTATATAATTGGGGATAAACTGGAAATAAAACATATAATAACTCAATGCCATGGGATAGTAATAAAAATTAAAACAGCATTATTTTTAACTTATTTTCTTAGAAGGAGGCATTATATTAATATAATATTTTATAACGAGTAACTTCCCAAATTTCTCTAATTTTTATTTAACTGCTAGTCCCAAACCCATACTTTCTGGCATAATTTAATTAAATATTCATGACTACATTAATAGCATGGTTTATACTCTTTATTTTCAAAAATTACTGTTGAAAAACACTAGTCAATAAATATTGAGAGTCATTAGGCAAAGACATTATTTGACTAACTAAAAGTTTAAAATAAGAATTCATATTTTTATATTCAAAAGTTTGCTTTCTTTAATGATAAGAGAATGTCTGAATATAAATGCATGATGTTAGTCTTAAAGGAATTAATCTTTCTAGATAATATTTTCCTGTAACATCATAAAATCAATGCAGAGAGTCTACAGGCAGTTCTAAATATGTAAAATGAAACAGAATTGATAAATTATGAGAATAATATGAGCTGAAATATATTTTAACTGAAGCATTTTATTTCTTAAGGAGATATGCTCTTGGTTACTGTTACATGACTTTTTTCCCTAATGTAGCTTGGCACATGCCAAAGCACTATTTTATGTTAAAATTTGTCGATTTTTAGAATGTATAAACCTATTCATTCATTTTGAAAAAACTGGAATAACAGAACAGTTTTAAAAATTACAACTGAGTCTGTAATTTTTAAAATTAATTTGGATTAATAGCTCAGGTGTATATGTTTAACTCAGTAATGTTTCCTGGGACATGACGAAGTTCAAATGGAACGAGCATATTTATGAGAACATTTGCATTCATCTGCATATATTATTGTTTTCATGCACAATAGAAATTTCAGTAAAAAATTTAAAATAGTACTAAGACAAAAAAGATTACCTTATATGCTTTATAGATTAGTACTGAAAAATTATTTGATAAACATTAAAACTAAACTTCAATTAATAGCATTATTATATATTTCTAACAGATCATATTTGGAGCCCTTATAACAATATTTTGTTATCATTTATGTCTACATATTTACACTTTGATAGTAACTTTAGTTTTAAGGATTGTCTTAGATCATTACAGGAAAAACAATAAATTTTTTCTTTAAGGATCAAAATATGTATTCACTAAACAAAATTTATTTTGTACTCTTCACAAATTTGAATGCAGATTGAAAAAATAATTGCTTTTAGACATATGATTATGTCAACTTTTAAGAATACAAAATATATTCAAAGAATATTTGAAGTCTGTAGCTTTATTCCTTCGCTTATCTTTATTTAGGACTCAGAGAAACTTTTAACTCATAAACACAAGCTGTGTCATTGCATTGGTGCTAATGAAAGACAGTCAGTTGTAGCACATCTTAATTCTTGACAATCAGAATTTTGGAGAATACAGTTAAGGTGGACAAATAGTATACAGCTATTTAAAACAATTCTCTGTGTCTAGTTTTGAAGTCCATGGGTGAACTATAAACATTCATAATTTCTAAGAAATGCTCTTTTTCAACCAAAGTACTTGTACTATGCTACATTATTAAATTATTTCAAGAAATCTCATTTAATATATGAACGTGTTGTGATGCAATTAGGTGGGAAATAAAAATTTACCAGAAATAGAAGATAAGGTCTACATACACAGCAAATATACCAGTTCTTTACCCACTTATTCACATGGACAATCATTCCCGCCCACGTTCTTTCATCAATAGCAGTTACGCAACTCAATGTATCTGGATTGTTTTCACACCTTAACTTTAGCTTACTTACCTATAAATTGGTATATAATTTTGAAGATACGTGATTTTCGATAGCATAAATTTGAAGAAATAATAGAATACAACTAATAGTAAAATATCGAATATAAATATTGAGTTAGCATAATTTAGGAAAAATGAAGAACATACAGATTAAATATGTCATAGTTAAATCAACAAAACTTATTTAATATAGTTTAATATAGTTTATTCAATATACTTATATAGGAAATATATTTGTATATTCCACTGCAATTTCAGTTTAAGAAGAGTCCTCAGTAAATCCAGGTTATTATTTTTTCATGTCTAATTAGGATTGTAATATTTTTGTTAAATCAGATTAGTCAAATAATCTCTGCATTTTCCCATATTTGAGTAATCTTAAAATCAAATTAATTTATTTTTTAATTTAATAAGTTGTTTTACCAACAAAAAAAGGAAGAACTGTATTTAACTTTTAAAGACACGATAAAAATCTTCATACTGTTAAAAAGTAAATAATATCACTGGCTGTGAGTTGAGTTAGGGTCTATGTTTCCTAGGTTACTAGTACCATTATGGGATAATAAGTTGCAAATATTTTCCTAGAACACGTTTCTTTCATTTTTTTTTCTTCAATTAATAGGTTTATTTAAGAGACAGTCCAACCCAACATAAGACTAAATAAAAGAATAAATAACCCCTACCGTGAGGCTATAGCTTTAAATGTTATTAAGGTTGTGGATGGAGCTGAACTTTCAGAAAAGTCTTTTTCCTCATAAGATGGAACATATTTTTTTCTAACTATAAAAACGTTAATATGGCATACACTTTTGTATAAACCTGTAGTTATTTCTGTACTCAGGTTTAGGTTAAACGTGAGCTCATAGAATCATAATGAATCCCGAGCATATTATTTGGTGTATTAAATAGTAATGATCTAGTCAAATAACAACTAGATGGTTTACAGGAGTGCCCCTCTCCTTCCATCTTAGTCACATGGGGTTTAATAGCATATTCATGAGCACACAGGTTTGGTTTATTCAACCAAAACTAAGATAAATTTGTCTTGTATCCAAGTACTGATTTTATAAATTTTACAAATAAGTGTTAACTCACACCCATGTTCATTAACTAACCTGAGACCAATTATTATGCAAATATTTTGCACATAAACCTCAATTTTGCCACCCTACCAAGGATAATTTGACGGGAAAATTGGAACTTTGGTAAGTACCAGAGAGGAATAAATAATGTTATAGTAGCAAATGAGCATTGAAACTACAGGGGGGAAATGTCATCAATACAACATTGTAATTTTTTTCTTAATTCTGTACTTATTTTCAGATGTGAGGCATAATGGGAGGCTTGTTTTTACTTAGTTAATGAAAACCTAATATTAGAGTAACATGTTTAATGTTTTATTAATCAATCTGCATATGTCTTTAAAAAATTACTTTCAGTGAAACTTTTTGTTTTTAAGTCTTTTGTAAAAGCATGCCAATATACGTTATTAGCTAAGGCCCAAAAAAGAAAAAAAAATAAACCTTCCTCATTTGTGTTAGAAATTTAAGGATGTGTTATTTACAAAATTGCAGCCTAATGGACTTTGGATTTTGATCATCATATATGAACCCAAATCCACCACTTATTAGTTCTCCTTTCTCATTTATAGAATGGAAGTGGTGATCATACTGCTCTATAAGGTCTTGTGAGTAATCCATGAAATAATACATGGAAAGCGTTAGCAATGAGCTTGGCACTTAGTAGGTCAGGTGTTCAATAAATT